TTCCGTTTTTCTTTTCTTTTTCTATCTAAATATCTTGGCAGAGCTTACCTCTCTACCATGCCCACCATTTTTGCTTACAATTAATGTCTGTTTAAAAGGGGAAAGTTGTTTTGATGCTTTAAAAAAAATCTGCTTTGGAGCAGAAAAGATTGGCAGCATTGAGAGTCTATCATAAACCCGTTATCACATTTGAGATGGGTTTCATCTCTGTCTTTAGCGGTGACCTCAGAGAGGAAGTCTCTTTAGAGAGAAACTCCTCATAGGAACCTCAGTAAACCTTATAGTTCTACCGGTGGCAATCTGTGAATTTATCCTGGAGGAGGATTACACACAGATCTCAAAGTGACATACCCAATTACAACAGCACATGGTAATTCTATGCATTTCTTGTGGAAAGGTGATAGGGGTCATATCAGATCCATAAGGGGAATTTGATTGAGTCTTCCAGAACATTAGAATAATACTTTAACATAAATACTCACTGAAATACTCTCAGATATTCTGACTGACATACACGGAATTATGCTAGACTGATTTGGGGGGCTAGCATATTCCTTTCCTGAAAAACAAGTATTCTCCTCTTCCCTCTACAAAGCTGGAGCAAATGGTTCTTGGGAACCAGTAGGCCACTCTAAATTCCTGCCATGAAAATGGACAGGGCTGCAGAGTCAGCTCCCAAGTCCTGGCTACCATTTTCTCATGCAGACTGAGAGGTGGATAGTAATTTCTTCCATCTCCCCTGAAGGTCATGACAGGAGAAAAGGGGACAAAAAAATGGGTGAGCCAAGCCACTCCTTGCGGGCTTATCTCTGCTTAAAATTTGGTTGAAATGACCACTTGGACTTCGCTGGGATTACCTTTTTACTTTGTTCCACTATCGAAGAAACAAAGACACAGTGCAAATAAATAACACGCATGCAAATTTCCCCAAGGCCTCCCTTGTATCTCAGCGAGAGAGGCTCAGATTTCCATGGTCTCAGGAGCTTGCATGGAATGAGGACTCCACCTGATCAAAAGATCTAGAGACCTATTTTAAAACAATTTTAAGGTGAAGAAAGAGGTGGTCCAGTGGATCTATATCACCTTACCTCACCTGAACTTAACATCCATGTTCTGGGTGCATCGTCTCCTGCCCCACCATGGGTATGAACTTCTGCAATGGATTTTTTTCCTGCATCATAAGCCTTCTTGGAAGTTTCATTGCAGCAGGCCTAGCCAAGCCCATAGCCCAGGAAAATAGAATATTCCATGGATAACAAGTGAGGTAGACATACAAATGGGGATAGATTCTTGGGGTATTAATCTATAACCTCTTACATGTGATAAAAGAACCACGGAGGAAGTCCCTCTCCATCAGTCATCAGGAAATGAGGGAATAATAACATGAAGCAGAAGAAAAGGGACAATTTCAGAACACGTGTACTCTAATTGGGAGAAAGGGACAAGGTAATATAGTTGATAGAGAGTTCACTACTCTGCCTCTCTGTGGCTCATCCAGAAAGCACCAGCTAATTGTGCCATTTAAGTGACCACTTGGTTAGGATTGCATCTGAATGTTAATGCTTTTTTTATTCAAAAAGCCTCAGGCATTCATCAACCAGTGGCATCTTGCTTTTCCTTTTCACAAGCTCCCTTTTGACTACAAGTGTGTACAACATTTATTAATTCATCTACTCTATTCAGATACATCTGAAGCTAGTATATCCTTTCCCTCTTTGCTTTTAAATGAAAAGAAACCAAAATTGAAAAGAAATCTTTCATCTCACTACTTCTCGCTCAGATGTGAGAGCAAAAACTTGAATAGCTTTTCTGCTACTCCTCACTTCTTGCAGACTTGTTGGGTAGGTTTTCGTACAAAGCAAGGCAATGTATTTTGCTTTTAGGGAATAAAGAAAGGTTTTTAAAATACCATTCAGCATCAAGTAGATTTCCATTAGCACTGTGGTCAGTTTCATTACATGGTATGAATACCTCTATTATGTGCTGGAAGCGCTCATTCTCCTTTCAAAAATATATTGAAAATAATTTGATGTCAATTTCCATGGTGATAGAAGAGACGAACATCACTTGGAACCATAACAAGCACCTATATCTGAATTATTGTGAAACACTGAGATGGTTCCTTTGTGTCAAGAGTTCTCTGGGTTGTTGTTATTGTTTCATTATCTGAGAAGAAAAAACCCTTTAAAAATGTAGGGCAATTATTAAATCTCATCCCCTTTTGTATCTTGTTGGCCAACCAGTTTTGTGTGTGTATGTATGTGTGTATGAGATAATGCTTCAAAAGAGGCATTCTAATTCTGCTTTTGTGAAGATTTGAATAATGAACTTCTGAGTGAATAAGGGTTTTAAATAAGGCATCAATACCTAAGATTCTCTTTGTATGGCCAAATGCCATTATATAATCCTTTCTCATTGTTTATGAAGCAGAGAAACAATTGGCTAAGTACTATATGGATGTACCTTCCTGGTCTTCTCTTTCTTCCACTGTTTTTACCCACTTGATACCACATGTTAAACCTATGTGAGACTGAGCCTTACCAGTGCAGGACTTTGTGAGGGATGTAATTAACCTGGTTGGCTTCTCTGGGTTCCAGAATCTGACCAACAGTTGTTGGATAGGAGCCTCTCAGTCCAGATAGGTCCTACATCATATTTTGAAGAACTTTAGAGAGTGTCAGGACTTCAAACAAGAGGCATAGAATTAGTTCAACATGAATGAGCTCACACTATGGATTTACTGTGTGTTTTACCTTACTGAATACAACAAATAATATACTTGTGCTGGCCTAGTTAAATCCTAATTACTCGACACAAAAGAACTCATGGAGATCCCAAAGGCTGTAGGCAGATATTTCTAAGGTCTTTGTCTTCATCCTGCTCCTGTCCAAGTTCGCTGTTTTCATTATCCTGTTACTACATCCTGCCCACCTATATCCCACACCAGTTTCTATTAAAAGGACCTCTTGCTGGACTTTTAATGCCATTTGCAGAAATTCATTAATCTCCTCACCTGCAACGATCTCTTTTTTACTATGTATCTGGGGAGTTTCAGCTTTGTGCTACCTTCCAAACATTGCTAGCCTTGGTTACTGAGAAAGTTCTAGAGATGGCTTTCTCTCTGCTGGCCAGCAGCCCTTTCACATCTTAACCTGAAGTTATAGAAGGCATGTCCTTGCCTTTAAATTTTCTCCAAGTTGGGCATGATTTAGTCAGGATTGTAAAATCAAAGAGGGATTATGTTCCTATGGTTACCTCCAGCTCTGGGATTTACTTCCACTTAATTGACCCAGGTAATGGATCATTTTGCTGTCTTAAGCATGTTGCCCTTATTCCATGTTATGATATCTGGAGTGTGGATAGAGTTGGACCTTTCTCTGATTTACACTGAGAGAGAGAGAAGAAGAAGGGAGGAGGAGGAGGAAGAGGAGGAGGAGGAGAGGAAGCAGAGGAAGAAGAAGAGAAAGAAGACAAGGAGAGAGGGAGAGAAAGGGAGGAGGATGGCAGGATGGAGGGAGAGGGAGAGAATACAGCAAACTTTACTAAAGACTTAGAAGATGGAAGAAGTTTACATTGCAGAAATTAAAAAAACTTGAAGTTGTATATTAAATATCCTTCTTAAAAGGTCTTTTACCGCGGCGCCTGGGTGGCTCAGTAGGTTAAGCATCTGTCTTTGGCTCAGGTCATGATCCTGGAGTCCTGGGATCGAGCCCACATTAGGCTCCCTGCTCAGCAGGGAGTCTGCTTCTCCCTCTGCCCCTCACCTCACTCGTGCTCTCTCTCTCAAATAACTAAATGAAATCTTTAAAAAAAAAAAAAGATTTTTTATGTAACCCACCACTTGAGATTTTTCCTTACTCACTCATTGTTTATTTTCTGTTTCTTCTTTCTTCCTCTTTGCTCTCATCTCTTGTCTTCAGTTTCCTGGGATTCCTCCCCTCCAAATTCTTTTCAATCCGTGTATTTGGCAGAACAGCTTGATCTTCTCTTCACTTCTACTTTCAAACTTGATCCCAAGATTTCCCAAAGCTACCAGTGTTCAGGTGAATGTAAGAACCATCTACTCTGTTAATAATAACACAGAGGCCTGGCAAAGAACTTTGGATTTCACTTCATAAGACTATAGCTCTGACTTTATATGTAATTTTCCCTCTATTATATTGGGTTATAGTCTCATTATAATTTACATTGATATGACTAAATCTGCACTGTCATATTCAATTTGTGGCATTTTATTTTTAAAAAAAACTGGCTAAACTGGAGTTAGAGGAAAAGAAAGTCCTTAAAAATCAAATATAAGAGACAATTATAGTAACTGGGATGTATTAATCTGAAGAAAAACAACACAACTGAGCAAGTGGCATTAGTGGGCCAATTAGTGGGCAATCTTCTATTAGAGATATTTCTACAGAAAGTACTTTAATGTACTTACTACCCCTTTTTCAAGTGTTTGAAAATATTAATCACATTCACTAACCGATTGTAATAAACTGTTTGGTGGTACTCGTCACGATTAATTCAAATGAGGCTTTCATTTTAAAAAGGTGGCTGATTGCAAATGGTAATAAAACCTTATAGCAAGAGCACAGTTTACCTACATCTGGAACACTACCCTTTCCAAAAACGTTACACAGAATTCTTCATTCATAACAGAAACTCCTATATGACCTTTGAAAGAATGATCACAAGAAACTGCCTCTGAATTTTTTATTTGGCTCTTTAGGATAAGCAGCTGCTGGAATTCATCCAAAAAGTTTGCCATGACTGTGTACGTGACTGAACCTTCCAGAGTGATACAGGTTGCATAATTTGGGTTCTCTGGAAATGGATATTTGATGACATGATCATGGGTTCAATTTCACAATTATTCCAAGAGAAATGCTGATCAGCACCAAATTCATTTTAGGAAAGGGAAGGTAATCCACTGTGTGTGTCTCGGGCACCTGCCAATTCTTCTGTCAGAGACCAAATTGCTTCAGTCAGCTCTTTTGTCCTTCCAGAGCATTTTGAGCCCTGCAGTAGCCGTCCCTCACGACTCATCATTCCCTCGGGCAAAGACTGTGCAGGAACAGACACGACTTCAGGGCAGCCTCACTCCTGATGACACCTGAGCTTGTGGAGGAGCAAGTCTACTTCACCGTTGGGTCACTATTAGAACCCAGGTAACTCTGGAGTCACTCTGACTATAACAATAAACATGGAATTTTTATTTGTTGGCAAAATTGTGCCATGACACGGAAAGCAGACTTCAATCGTTTTATAAAAATTTATTTCTTTGGACACTCACCTCTTGTCCATTTACTCATGCCATCCATACTTCATTAACAACTATACTCATTAATGAACTTAATTTGAATATGGTTGAAGTTTAGTGGAGAATCTGATATTTATTAAAGATAATTTTAAACCTCTCTAAAAAAAGCAAAGACAATAAGGTTTTTTAATAAGACCAGTGTACTCTTACTAGAAATTCTCATCTAAGGGACTTTGGGGAAGTGCCCTGGAGACATTCATCCTTTCATGAAATAGTTACTGAGTATCTACTTTGTATCAGACAATTTTCTAAAGTGATGAATAAGGCAGATAGGTGATAGTCTTTTTGGAGCTGATTGTTTCTCGGGGAGGCAGCCAACATAACAAGTTAAAGACAGACACAAAATATTTAAGTTTAGCAAGGGCTCTGAAAGGAACCAACAAGGAGTTGAGAGGGAGAAGAGCAGAGGCCACTCTAGGGATGTTTTCTAGAGGGGCATTTACCCTGAGACCAAAAGGAAAAAGAAGGGAGACATGTGGTGTGCTGGAGCAAAAAAACTAGAAGATGATTGGAACAAGATGAGTTAAAGAGGAAAACAGGGGTCAAATCATGCATAGATTTATAGACAGAGGCAAGAAGTTGGATTATATGATAAGGACAATAGAAAGTCCAGTGAAGGTTTTTTTCTCTTAATGATATGATCCAACTTTTGTCTCAAAAAATGCCATTTTTCCCATCTATGAGTAGAAAAGTTTGGCAGGGAGACAAAGGAATAAGAAAAGAAGCGGTGAGACCACTTGAGAGATTATTGTAGGAAGCTAGGAAAGAGAAAATGGTGAGGTGATTTAAGATGGTGGCCATGGACGTATTTTGGAGGTAAAATGTAGAATGTGGAGAAATGGCTAACACTTTGGATGTGGGGGGGGAGGCAATAAAGAATAAAGATGACTCTAGGTTTCTGCTAAAATAATGTGGCAGAAAATGTAAACAAGGAGACCTTTGTCTTATTTTGGGAGCAGCAGTTTTACCGAGGATTCTGACCAGTCTGTAGGCTAAGCTTATGCATGTTTCGTGCTCAGACATCGAGGATGACAGTACACCCTATAAGGACAAGGGAATCCGTGCAGAGTGCTTTTCCCATGAGGGTCAGAAAGCAGAGCTTTAGGGAACATTGGCTTTATTTTAGATGGTGACAACACCACTCTTGTTGACTTGACTCTAGTCGGGCTCCTCTAAGGCTTCAAGGCTCCAACACTGGGCTCTGTCTGTGGCCCCTTTAGTCCAGTTTTAGCAAAAATCTTGCTGGGTCAGTTTAGACAAAATCACCCACCCTTGGTATCTTCTCCTCTGGCCCGCCTTCAGCAAGAATCCTAATGCATCTTTCCAGCAAGAGTCCCGCTAGCTAACGTTTCCTCTGAATAAACCACGACCCCAACTCTGTTCCTCGGCTTTAAATCTCCCCTTGTCTTTGTTGTATTAGAAGTTGAACCCCATCCCTCTCCCCTGCTGTACCCTCCCCACCGCTGCAGAGGTCCCCTGAATAAAGTCTATGCTCTTTAGCAAGTGTTATGAATGATGTTTTTTCTTTAACAGTGGAGAAAAAAAATAAATGAAAGAAAGCAGGCTGGGAAGAATGAGAAAGGGTGGCAAGAGGGAACATGCCAGAAAACAAGAAGTGAGTGGATGTGTTTAAATGGCCGGAAGAGGTGAACGGAAAGAAGCACTGACGAGGTATCTTTGGAGAGGGCACTCAGTGACAGAGCAGACAGGACGGAAGCCTCAGCATCTCCTCTCGCACATCTGCTCCTGCTATGACTCTTTCTCAGAAGGGCAGAATCTCCTGCTCTAGGGACCTTTCCTCTCCCTCCCTCCCAGCCATACAGATTGTTTTCCTGCTGAAAGGAGAATTCTTTTAAAACTCCCCACCCTGGCACACAATTCTGTGGAAATGGAAACATGTGGTAACATTTGTTTCCCAGAGTCAGCACCTGATTTTGTGCCTTCTTAAAAGAACCTGAGTTGGATGCCTCCATATCTGGGAGTTCTACTAGAGACAGAGCGTGCTGAGTTCGTTATTGTCATTTCAGTGACACATTTGAGTTATACCTAAAGCTCTTGATTATTTTGAATGCAACTTTTCAGTGTCGTGTAAAGCAAATCAATCTGAAACCTAAAAAAACAAAACAAAACAAAACAAAACAAAAAACACCAAAAAACCTCACACATCTATTAAGGGGTATATGTAATATAAATCCAGACTACTCTCGATCTTGATTGAGTGTGATGTTTTTCATTCCAGATTTAATCCCTCAAGGATTCCAATATTAATCTGAATGCAGACTTGGCTCAATTTTCAGTGTGCATCTCTTTGAAAATGGTTAATGCATTGACAACTTAAAATCCATGCAGATTATTTTAGCAGTGTTTGCCCTCTGATTTAGACGCTTTTGAGTATACTGGTCAATATTAATTCTTTAAGCAGTTTTACTGTATATGCATTTCTCATACTCCTAACAGTCCAGAAGAGACTTTAAAAACATGTGCCTTGGGTAAAGTGGGCCCTCATTCCTCTGTAATATTCTCTTTCTCTTGCTCCTGGATATGGGTGGCAATCTGTCCTGAGAGGTAAAGAAGATCAGAGCACAGGATATAATATCAGTGTCTTTGGGCCCTGGCATTAGATTCGTCATCTAGAAGTCATAATAGGGGTTAAGAATCTCTCGACCAAAAGGACATTTGCATTGGAATTGTAGGTGTCTCACTGACAGTTTGATCAAGTCATTTCATCAGGCAGACCAGTGACGTTGCACGAGAAGGGGCTCATTCACATAATACAGCCCACAACCATCAATACATTCTCTAGGGTTTTGTGCCCTTGAATAGCCATAATATCCAACCACAGCATTTATCATCAGGCCCAAAGTACTTATCAAGCATGAGGATTCCTTTAGCATGGAATCAGGATGAGCCTGTAAAATAAACTGTTTTTAAAAAAAAAAGCATCTTTGTCCTTTGGGTCTTGAACAGAAAGAAAAGGATTTCTCATAATCATCTGTAGCCTGATCAGTGCTCCCAGTCAATCAGAAGACAGGACTTTTGTAGATGACAGGGGATAGTAAGGTCTCTGAAACAAATTTGTAAAAATGCAAGTGTTGGCTCTGGGATTGATTTTTCAGTTTTCGAACTCAGAGCAAACTACAGTAATGGTGTTTCAAACTCTTCCAGACTCTGATACCCTGAGGTCTTCCTATTCTGTCTGTATGTTACTTTTAATGGGAAACAGCCCTAACTCACAAAGCACAGCACAAAGGCTGTGGGAGCCTAAAACCTCTCTCACAAAGAATATGAAAGAGAAATTCGACAATCATAAGCAAAATTAGAAGCAGGTGAAGATAGAATCTGGGAAAACGCAAATATACTTTTAATCCATTTATCCCATACCTCCTGTCAGGTATTTTTCATAGTAAATTTTAGTTCTACCTTGAAAAAGCCTTGCTTTCTCTCTTCATAATTTACGTTGTATACTTTGTTTCCCTTCTATATTTATAGAACATCTCTTAAAAATTTTTTTATTTAAATTCAATTTGCCAACATATTTTAGTACATCACTTCTATACTTAAATTTCTCTTCTCTACTTTGACTTTATGGCTTTTAACATCATGTTTGAAAATTCTTCCCCAGTAGCTGAGTTGCAATTTATTTTTTCTGCAAGCTGAGTTTCCACCACTACTGTATGTATTAGTCTGCTTGAGCAGAAAGTCTAACATTCCTCTTCGTTCCTATTGTTTACTTATAGGGATCTGCCAAGAAGAGATGCAGTTTGCATTCATGAATGGCAAAAAATAAGTTAATTAGATGCTTGGGGAAATAATTATGTAAATATATTTGAAGAATTCCATACATGGGCTCTAAAATAAGACAACAGAACCACTACTGGATTTGGGTTTATGACCAGAACCCAATCACAGGACTCATTTCCAAGGAAAAATTGTAAATATATAATTTTAAAATTTAAAGCTGTGACCATCTTACACAGTTATATGATGTTTGAAGGTGTTTGGAATCATTTACCAGAATCAGGGCTTTTCCAACTTTTCTAACTTAGCAGCAGAGAAAAGTAAATATGAGTTCTTGAGTAATTCAGAGTATAGAATGTTGTTCCCTGATCCAGGCATGAAATTTCTTTGAAGTCCTGTGATTTCCTATAAATATTCATGAGCCTTTTGCTTTCCATACATGTAATATACATACTTATTTCAATACAAAAATAATATGTCCCCCATCTCCTTGAAGAAAATGATGCTAGAAGATATACCAACTTTCTTCTGTGGCCTCTGGTACCTGCGAGGGTTCTGCCAATATCAGGGTGACCCCCCCGGTTAAGAGGCATGCAGTGATCCGGCTTGTCACAACAGTATTCAAGGAAGGTGGTTCTTGTTATCCCTAGTTTACAAGGGCAGGAACTGAGGCTCAGAAATTTTAAGAAACCTAATACAGGTAAGCCGGGCTCTCCCAATGATTCCAAGACCCATTACTCTGGTTATGCCACTGGGCTGCCTGAAGAAATAAACTTCAGTCCTCCCTGATCTCAAAGGAGCCAAAAATAAAACCTCTCCTGTCAGCACCTCCCTGCATCTCCAACCCCTCACCCCAGCCCAAGAATTTTAGATGTTATGTAAGACCAGTATTTTCTGCTGGCCTGTTGTTGCTGCAAATAAGCTCTGAAAAATGTCACCAACAGTTGGTCATTTTCTGGGTGAGGAGTATGAATAAAAAGAAGCATGCAAACATGGACCTTTCCTTTTCCAGTTCATTCAGTTTCTAAGTCACTCACTTGGTCCCTCCCTCACTCACCCTGCAGGCATGCACGCACTCACCAAAATTGTAGGCACCATGTTTTATGCACTGTGCTGTGAG